TTCCCAGCCAGCAAACCGTGCAGCAACGTGAGTGCTGTGCCCGGGAGCTTGGGGCTTTCTCGGTCCAGTATCCCAGGACCCAGGCACCCTTCCTGGAGCCCCTGTGCCCCTCCCTCCCACCGTGGGCACCCAGGACCCACTGCTGTCTGCTTGTAGCCCAGCCCCTTCTTGTCCTATCAGACCTGCTTTCCTGTCCTCTCCTTGTCCTGCTAACTTCTCCCTTCATGCTGCTGGCCATGTGAGGAGGGGAGAAGAGTGAGGGGTTGTGGAGGGGTTTTGAGGGCTCTGGTAACCCCCGCCCCGTGTCGGCAGGAGAACCTGCGGCTGGCCTGCGAGCACATCCAGAAGCTGCGGGCAGACATGGGCGGCACCAACCTCCTGGCAGCCCTGAGCTGGATGCTGGGGCAGCGGCTGCACCGGGGCTCCCCCCGCCAGCTCTTCCTCTTCACCGACGCCAACGTCAGCAACGCGGGCCGGGTCATCGAGCTGGTGAGGAGGCAGGCAAGCACTGTCAGGTACGGAGCCAGCCAGGGGCATGGGACATGTTGGCAGGGCTAACACCTTTCTGCTAGGGAGGTGGAGCCCGCAGCTCTGCCCACAGCTATCTCCTGCCTGCGCTCATGAATGACCCCCCACCCCATGCATCTCAGGCCCTGGGAAAGGGAGCTCAGTGGCTTCTAGAGACCTTGTCCTCCCTTCAGGCACGGCCTGTTTCTAGCCAGGCCTGGGGGCTCTCAGAGCAGCCCCTGGGCGGCTCTACAGCAGCCTTGCTGCTCCTTGCAGGTGTTTCAGCTTTGGCCTGGGCTCTGGGGCCTGTCGGAGGCTCCTGAGAAGCCTGGCCAAGGTGAGTCGAGGTCGGGCTGAGTTCCTGAGCCCAGAGGAGAGGCTGCAGCCCAAGGTAAGAGCCTCTTCCCCGCCCCATGCTTTGGGCTCGGGCATGCTCTCTATTGGCCCCCCAGCTGAGGGTGCCCATGCCCAGCAGGCATTGACCACCACTGCCCTGTCTAAGGCAGCACGGGGATTGGTGCAGGGGACCGAAGGGTTGAGGTGTTGCTGCCTGCTGGGCGCAGCCTGCAGAGGGGCCGGGGGCCCGCGAGCCACAGCTTGTGGTGCTCAGTATGGTCACTAGGGTGGCCATCATAGAGGACACTCCGGTTGTCCTCTGTCCTCTATTGATCTGAAACCCGGTGCCTTTATGTTCTCTATTTCTCTCTTTTAGAGAAAAATAGAGGACATAAAGGCGTTGGGTTTCATATCAATAGAGGACAGAGTAGCAGAAAACCAGCATGATGGCCACCCTAATGGTCATGGAGCCCCGTGCCCTGCACCGCTCTGGTCTGAGCTGCGCAGCTGGGAAGAGCAGTCTACCGGCATCCCCTGAGCTTTGTGTGACAGCCCCCCCGGGGAGCCCGAGTGGAGAGCAGGGCCTGGCTGTACTGTAGCAAGGGACAGCCCCTCTCAGGGGAGCTCCTGGTCCGCGCAGGCGAGGGAAGGCGTCTTGCAGGGGGATTGGCAACAAAACCAGCTCTCCGCACCTCCTTCTCACTTAGCCCTTGGGCTGGAGGGTCTTCCCCTCCATAGAGCAGTGCTGCTGGGCTCTGGAGCAAGCTGTCCACACCTCCCACCTCCAGGATGGGACGTCTGAGGGCCGGGAGCAATCGGGACACTGTGCTGGGGAAAGAAGCATAGGCTCCTAGAGACGTGGGGCTGGAAGGGAGCTCCAGAGGTCACATCCAGTCCAACCCCTGCCTAAAGGATCAGCCCTGTCCAAACCATCCTGTACAAATCCATAACCTAACCTCCTGTAAAACTACCACCAACCCTGACACAACATGAGACACACACCCTAACCTGCCACAGGGAAGGCAGGGGCACCACGGTGGCCAGTGTCCTGCTTAAGGTTGTTAATATACACTTGAGAGATCCCCGGTAGAGGCCATGACCCCCCCTACAGAGGAAGGCCGACCCCCCCAGTCCATACCAGTCTGACCAGGGGATAAAATTCTTTTCTGACCCCAAATGTGGCACCGGTCTGACCCTGAGTGGAAGGGCAAGACCCTCTAGCCAGGATCCTCTGGGTTTAAATCCCAGCAGGAGCACAGGCACAACCCAGTCCCTGTCCCCAGCCTGGGCGGCAGCCAGCACCCAATGCCTCTGAAAGAGGCTTAAAAACACCCTGCCACAAGTAGCAGGAACTTGGGGGGGCACAACCAGCAAAGCCCGGAGGCCTGGGAAATGCCCATGGCAGAACATAGGCCTGGCTATGCCTAGATCATCCCCTACCACCGGCTGCTCAGCCCCTCCGTGAACACGTCCACAACTTCCCCGGGCATCTGTTCCACTGCCTCCCTGCTCGAACAGCGAGGAAGCTTTTCCTGAGGTCCAATCTAAGCTTTCACCCTGTGCTGCCCCAAAATGTGCCCTCCTGCCAAGACCAGGCATCTCCAGTGGACTCCTGCTCCTCAGGAGGCAATGGCTTAGGCTGCCCGCTTTAATGGGCCTGGCTGCAGGGTTCAGCATCAGTCGTCACCCTCTTGACTCCAGGAGTGGGTGGGTCGTTAAAGGGTGGTGGTCCTCGGGGTTGTGTGCGGCAGAGGAAGCAGGGCAGGGGATGCAATGAGCTGCTGCTGATAGCCCTGGCGCTGGGCGCCTCCTCAGCTGATCAAGTCCCTGAAGAAGGCGATCGAGCCGGCTGTGAGCGACATCACCATCGACTGGTACGTGCCCGACACCATGGAGGCACTGCTGTCGCCCAACGAGATTGCGGCCCTGTACCCTGGGGACCGTCTCATCAGCTACTGCACCCTCTACAACATCGCCTGCTTCCGGGACAAGAAGGCAGCGGTAAGAGCCCTGCCTGGGGGCAGGTGGGGAGAGTGGGACAGGACCCCAGCACCAGGCCGTGCCCACCAAAAGCATGGCTGGGCATGACCCCCTGGTGCTCTCCTCCAGGGCCAGGAGCGGGTGTGTCGCAGCCTTTCGCGCGGCTCTGCGGGGTCGGTGTTCCAGTCCCCGGATGAGGCCTTTGGCCCAGATGGGCCGCCCCTGTGCCCGGCTGGGGACAGCCAGGACATCAGCCGCACCCTGCAGGAGATTTCCCATGAGATCTCCCTGGAGTTCTCGGCCGGGGGCGTGGAGGAGTCGGAGAAGAGTGAGTAGAGCCGCGGGGGGAGGAGGAGGAGGCTCTCCCAGTGCATCTGGCCCCGCGCTGCCTGTTGCTTGGGTGCTCGGGCTCCAGGGGCTGCAGCAGCTTCTCCCTGTGCCTGGAGGGAGCTGGCTGACGGGGAAGGCTGGGGTGGGGTTGTGCCTCGCAGGGTCATTCCTGTTGGAATAGCATCACTGCAGCTGCCTTTCCACGGCAGGTGGGGACCTCACTTCAGGGGCAGACATCTGGAAGCGGATTTACGAGGCCTCCTACATCCAGGAGCAGTACGTGCTCACCCACTGCTCCGTCAGCACCGACCGGAGCCAGGGCCTGCTCTCCCACAGCTCCACCAGCAGCGAGTCCACCGGCTCCCGGGACATAGCTCCCGACGGGGGCTCGCTGGCCCGGACCCCTGAGGCAGCCTCTCAGCAGGGCCAGAAGAGCGTGTCTCTGTGCGAATCCTCCACCAAGTCTGCTCCGCTCCCGCAGGCGCAGGTGACGGCTGCAACTAAGGTAAGGCCTCCTGTGACTGGGGCGGCGGGGGACGGAGGTCGTCCTCTTTCCCCTGCCTCCCAGAGGGCCTGATTCCTGTGCTCAGTACCCCAGGAAAAGAGAGCCCTCTTTCAGCATCCTTGGCATCCTCCATGTACAGACTCAGACCCACACCCCCTCGGCCCCAGGCAGGACTTAGCTGGGTCCTGTCCTAAGGCTGGACCACCAGGTGCCCAGTGATGGTCTCTCACGCCCTTTAAGGCAGCGGCAGCTTTAAATCCAGTTTCATCCCTACCCACCCTCCAGCAATGCGGTTTCCTATTGCTGCTGTCCTGCCTACTCGCTCTGTAGCCCAAAGACCAAACATCACGGGACTGAGTTTTCTGTTGCCTGGCTGAGGAAGGCAGAGGCAGGTGGAGCCCTGTGGCCTTCAGCCCCTTGCACCCAGGTTGAAATGAGTGTGGAGTCACGGCTTTGCCATCAGTTAAGGCACTGGGTGGGCAGCGGGGCCTCCTCCACATTGCCCCTTGGCAGGTCCCAGACCTTGGGCTGTGTGGGTGGGATCCAGCTGGTGCCTTGCATGGCCCCCGATGGGCTGGAAGCCCCCCCAGCACAGGGCCCTGATCCCCACGCTGACCCCGTGTCTCCCCTGCGCCCAGGTGAGCATGGCGCTGAGCTCCGAGGAGCTGCTGCGGCGCAAGAAGGCGCTGGCACGAGCCGCCCTCTCTGGCCGCAGCTTCTCATCCCCGCACGGTGAGCTGGACGCCCACCGCCTGCGCCGCACCCTGGAGAAGGTGTCCCGGAAGCGGAACCGGTCCCTGGAGGGGCAGCTGGACGAGCTGGGGCCAGAGCTGCGGCTGCTGCAAGGGAGCCAGGCCGACTCCAGTGAGTGCTGCGGGCGGTGGGGGGGCACGTGGCAGGTGTGGGTCCCTCACCCAGCGCCCTGCCTCACTCTCCAGCAGATCACCTGCTCTCGACGTCCCACCTGGACTGGGACATGCTGGTGGAGCCCCCGTACCTCTTCAGCGGGGCCGAGGCCGAGCAGGCCATGGTATTGCCCGTGCGCTGCCAGGTGGTGATCCACGCACTTAGCGCCGGCAAGCCCATCTCCTGGCAGGTGAGTGCCGCCCTGGAGTCTCTGCTGCATGCCAAGGAGGCTCCGAGCAAGGAGCAGGCAGGGAAAGGCTGGGACAAGCTGCTGCACCGCCTCACTGCCCGCTCCGTCATCCGGGACCACGAGAACACGGCCCAGCGAGAAGCAGAGCTGGAGCACGGTGAGTCCTGCCCTGGGGCCCGCACCCCCCGCCCAGCGCGGCCCTTCCTGCACCTCCTCATCCCACACCTTATCCGCAGGCTTTGCCCGGCGGTTCCGCCTCAAGGCCATGCAGTCCTCCAAGGCCTGTGACGTGCCCTCCATCTACACCTGCCTGGTGCCCGTGGACCCCTCCACACAGGAGGCCCTGCCCACAGCCCTTGAGGTTCGCCGTGCAGGTAGGACCCCAGGGACCCGGCTTCAGCATCACGGGGAGCCCATGGGGCTGGGGGAAGACCAGGACTCAGCCTCCTGGGGTCTGTGTCCACTGCGAGTGCGTGTGCATCCATTGACATGGGTGCATCTTGTCTGCTTTGCTGTCCTGGGAGTGTCCCCCTCTCCTCCTCCTCCCTTGTCTTTTGTATTCTGATTTTGCTCTCCTGCTCATACTCTGCACTGTCCTTTCACAGCATCTGACGAAGGAACCAGGGTTCACAAAAGCTTGTGCTATACATATAGTCTTATTTTGGTAGTCTGGTGCTGCTTAACCTTTTGGCCCTGCAGGCCAGGTGGCATGGAGCTGGTCTGTGGGCCAGATGGGGCTTAGCATCTCCCCGTCCCTGCCTGTGTGCTGGGGGTAGGTCCCAGAGCCCCCACACCACCTCCACCCAGCCCAGTGCGCTGGGTTTGGGCGCTCCTGGATGACAGGGAGCTGCAGGCCGGAGGTTGAGCACCCGAGTTAGTCCGTGCATATCTGTCCTGCCTTCGAGCTGACTTCAGAGCAAGGTGGTTAATGACCTCTCATGGGTGCACCCGTCAGAGATCCTAAGAGGATGAGGCCAGTCCCTGAGAGCTGCCTTTAAAGCCAGGAAGCCAAGGAGAGGGGGCAGGAAAAGTGCAGCTGAAACCAGCCCTGGGGAAACATGGGCAACTGGAAGCTGATGGGGGCTGGGTCCTTGCAGGGGGCTCGCTTGGCCACCAGCACGGGTCCCAGGCCGGGAGCCGGCGCCAGCGCAGTTACTCGGCGGGCCTGGGCCGCAGGCATGACTCAGATGAGCTGGACGATGCTGCCATCTCTGGAGGTACCGACCCAGGCTGGTATTCAGGTCTGGCATGTGGTGCCTGTGGAGGCACCACCACAGCCTCCCTCGAGGCAGCCTGAGCCCGGGAGCAGGGTGCACCCTGGCTCTGCCCACAGCCCAAGGGTGGACTTGAGGACCAGCGTGTTGGCCCTCCAGGGTGGGGTGTGGGCCCCGGCAGGGCTGTGTGTGGGGGCTGGGACTCTGGGCCAGGATCCTACCTCTGGCAGCGGGACCCTCGAGAGCCACTGCAGGGGCCGCAGCAACATGCTCAGGCCTAGGGGGGCTGAGCTCAGCACCCTCGGTAGCTGCCCAGGCCCTGCTTGGCCACCCCCTGCTTTGTTCCTCTGCAGAGCGCAATGGGATCCCGGCGTCTCCGGTCAGCACCTCCTCCGGCACCTACGGCTGGGAGAAGCAAAGCTGCCCCAACGGTGAGTCCCATGCGATGGCTGGGAGCTGTGGCCAGCGGGGCTCAGCCCCTGCAGGGGAGACACTACATGGGCACCAAGGGTGAGGGCAGACTGCCCTGTGCCCAGCAGGCTCTGGCCATGGGCTATCTGTGGCTCCTGCTGGGCTCTGGAGGGGGATGGGAAACCTCCGGCTGCTATGCTTCCAGCCTGTAGGCATGAGGACAGCTCGGCCTGGGATGTGGCTGGGTCTCTGCAGCAGCAAGGGGAAGAGGGGGCTGCGGGAAGGCTGCCCTGCCTGCATGGGTACACCTAGGGGCATCCCCTGGCAGGGCACAGGAACACCAAGGTGGGGAAGAGGGTCCAGCCCCCCAACCCTATTGTGCATCCTGCAGGGCCCTTCCCCAGCCAGAGAGCGGGGGGGCCTGTGCCAAGGAGCTACTGTGGCACCGGAGGGGGACCACCCCACCTGGGCCAGAAGCAGGCAAGTGGAGCTGTCCCCTAGCCTCCTCACCTGCCATTGCAGGTCCCTCGGCCAGTCCCTCTGCCAACTCCGCAGGATCCCAGAAGTCTGCCGAAAGCTTCATTGGTTCCAGGTGAGCTCCAGTGCCCGAGGCCTGACCCCGCAGCATGGCAGGAGTCAACCTTCCCCGATGCTGGCTGGGACCCAGTCCCCCTGCTCTGCCCAGCCACCTTCCTCTCCGGGAGGGAGCGGGTCCTGCCAGGGCTGCATCACAGGGAGGGTACCTGGGGAGGGTCCCACGAGCTGGGGGCAGCATGGCCATGCTGGATCCCTTGACTAAGGGGCTTGGGTCGGTCCATTCAGGGCTGGGCTCCCCCTGGCTCTGGGGGTGACGGGGCCTCCCCTAATGCCAGCAGGTGCTAACCAGCCTCCTCCCTGGCAGGTTCAGCCTCAGCCGCCGCAGGGGACACGGCTTGGCACTGCGGCCGCAGTGCCTGACCCCAGAGGGCGAGCTCCCCCGCAACCATGCTACCCACGACTACCTGCCACTGGTGAGGCCCCCCTGCTGCCCCAGCCCATCTGCACTGCTCCTGTCCAACACCCCCTGAAGGAGCTGAACCCACCCCCAGTGCCAGGCACATGCAAGCTGTATCCGCTGGGTGGTGCCAGTGAGCAGCAGCTGGCACAGGCACCACAGAAGCCCGTAAGACAGCAACTCTCCCACGGCCTACGTGGCAGGTGCAGCTGTGTGCTCATGGCCCCAATCCCAGGCTACCCTGACCACAAGGCCACAGGGTGCCTGCCTCCATCAGCAGTACCCAGGAGCGGGCCCCAGCCATGAGCAAAGTCCCCAGCTCAGCTGGCAGAGGCGCTGCCTCAGGGCCGCTCCTGCAGGACTCCACATACCCCCAGCCTTCCCAACTTCACCTGTCACCCCAGGTGCGGCTGCAGCAGGCTCCGGGCACCTTCCAGCTGACGGAGAGCTTCGCCGAGGCAGTGCAGATCCCCCTGGACCGCCTGCGCCGGGCTTCACCCTACGCCTCACACCGCGCCAGCCTCAGCCCTGCCTCCTGTCCCTCGCCGGGGCTCCTGGGCACCAAGGGCAGCCTTGAGGGTGGTGCCAAGCCTGTAGGCAGCCAGCCCTCTCCTGAGGGAGAGGAGCCCGGCCAGGAGGGGGTGCCAGAGCCAGGCTCGCCCCAGTCCCACAGCACCTGTTCCGAGGTACTGAGCGTGGCCGTGTGGCCAGACAGCGGCCGTGGGTCCGAGACAGATGCCTGTGACCATTCCCCAGCCCCCTCGGAGGCCGGCCTGAGCCTGCAGGAAGGCGCAGGGCCAGAGGCTGAGGAGGGTGACCTGGAGAGTGCCAGCTGGGCCACGGCCGTGGCGCTGGCCTGGCTGGAGCACCGCTGTGCCGGCTTTTTCGTGGAGTGGGAGCTGGCAGCAGCCAAAGCAGATGCATGGCTGCGGGCGCAGCAGCTGCCCGAGGGCGTGGACATGGGCTCCCTGAGGGGGGCGGCGCGCCACCTCTTCCTGCTGCTGCGCCACTGGGACGAGAACATCCAGTTCAACATGCTCTGCTACAGCCCCGGCAGTGTCTGAGCCCGAGCTGCGCCCCCTGCCTCCCCAATAAAGAGGCTTGGCTCCCATCAGCCGTTCCTGCCTCTCCTTGCACTGCTGGGGCGTGGGCTAGGGCACCCCCACTCTGACTGTGATCCCAGGGGAGTCTGTGCCTGGCTGGGCAGCCCATGAGCAACGGGGGATGGGGGCATCAGGGCAAACCTGGTACACACTCATGTGGACTATAGCTCTGCCCTGGGTTTGGCAGTGCATGTATGGTGGGGGGAATTGAGACAGCAAAAGGACTTTTTGCTCCATAGGAGCAGGGGCGAAGGGGGGCAGCCTGGGCTGGACCCTACGCACTGGCTGCCTACCCACCCTTGGGCAGGGCCGTGAGAGGCTGGCAGAGTGGAGGACCCCCTGCCCCCTTGCTCCTGGGGGACTGCAGCCATGCTCCCTCCTTATGTTAGGAACAGACCCCGGGAGTCCTGGCTCCGAACCACAGCGGCTCTCACCCTAGAGTGCAGGCGAGCTCCTCCCTTGCAGGTCCTGTGCCAGGGAGGGGCTAGAAAGCCTGCAGCAGGGCTCTGCCACCTTTATTGGGGGAATCCCAGGTAAGAGCTGGTACCCTGGCGAGACCCCATCCCCTAGAGAAGCTGTGGGAGCAGTCCTGGTTCCGGTGGGGCCGGCCAAGCCAGCAGGTAGTTGTCCAAGCCGGGGCACCGCTCCTGGAGGTGCGGGGCAGGGCAGAGCAGAGCAAAGCAGAGTAGCCAGCAGTTCCCATTGTCCAGTGCCCCCATCTCACTGTGTCTTTTTCGGGGGGGCCGTGACTCTCCTGGGGGGGCTGCAAGGTTCAGGCGAGGAGGCCGGGCTGTACCAGAGCTGCAGCAGGACGACTCCGTGGCAGGCGTGCAGGGAGGCCGAGCTGTACACCGTAGATGGGTACGTGTTCCAGGAGAGCTCAATCAGGCCTAGGACCAGAACCCTGCAGGGGCAACAGGCCCGTTAGCGCCCCCAGCCCTGTAGCTCCTTACTCCCACCCACAGCCCCACCTACCCCAGCAGCGAGGCCAAAGTAAGCAGAACCGTGCCATGTAGAGAGGCCCTAGGGATTCCCCCACCCCTTTGAGCATTGCAGAGCAGGGCAGGGTGAGGTGGGCATGTACCGGAGCAGGTGCCCCAGCTTCTTGGCAGGGGAACCCCACAGCAGATATGGCAGGGTGTGGAAGTACCAAACGTAGAACTGATAGTGCAAGGACCGGCTGCAGCACACACCCACGAAGTTGGAGCTGAACAGCACAAAGACAATCTGTGCACAGCCGTCAAGGAAGCCACGGGCAGGAGCTGAGCCGAGTAGAGGCTTTTAAGTGCCTGTCTGCCCCTGTGCCACCTTCCAGCCCAGCCAGGCCCTGCCCCCAGACGCTCTGTGGTCCCCAGGACTGTCCACCTCCCAACCCCTGCCCCCAGCTCCGGATATCATTGGGTGTCAGTGGCTGCAGCGATGTTTTCCTGTCTGCAGGATCCCTCAGTAGGGACAGGATACTCTCCTCTGACCTGCAAGGAAACGTACCAGCACTGATGTCTGCTCCTTGTGGGGCTCCTTTCGCCGATGCCTGGGCATCCAGGCAGCCTCTTTGTACCCAGCAGCAGGCTAGACTGGGGTCCCAAACCTGTTGGGCGGGGGCTGAGCACTACCTTGGGGCTCAGCCACTTCAGGCTCTCACCTGTGCCACCGGCGCAGTGCCAGCAGGGCCAGGGCGGCCAGGTGGGCCACGAGCAGCGCTGCATGAAAGGCGCGGTGCTGGAAAACCTCCTCGGGCAGGAAGCGCCAGTTCACCGTCCACTTGAAGAGGAACTGGCGGCCCAGGTCAAAGGAGCGGCTCAGGTACCCGCCTGGGTTCTCCAGCAGGAAGGGCAGCCCCAGCACCACCTACGAGACATGCCAGGCCCCCAGGTACTGCCATGGTCAGGATGGTGGTGTGGGGGCAGGGGAAGCAGCTCTCTTCCCACCCCCATCCCTTTCTGTGGCTCCACGGCCTCTCGCCTGGGGGTTCGAGGGTCCAGGATGAGCATGTGCACTGGGGGCGGCATGGGGGAGTCGCTGAGGACTCCCCCTCTGCCATCCCCGCCTTACTGCTGCTCCCAGGCCCAGCCAGGCGCTGGCTCTGCCCGTCTGCCCCTAACGCAGGGGCAGCTGGGAGAAGCCAGTCATTGAAGCAGCAAGCAGCTGCCCCAGGCTGGCGGATCCACTGGGCCGGCCCCAGCTGGAATGGGGCAGATTTGGTGCTGGGGTGGGGGCAGCCTGGGCCCTCTCCCCTGCCATTCAGCCCTTCGGGGGCTACTAGGAACGTGCACGCTGCCAGGGGTCACGCAGCTCTGGCAGCACTGGCCCGGCCCGGGGTACCTGGAGCGCCGCGCAGATGGCCAGCTTGGGGATGGTGCCCACGAGGCCGAAGCGCCGCAGGAGCAGGAAGAGGAGACCCGGAGCAAAGAGCAGCACGTTCATCTTCACTGACACAGCCAGGCTGGGGGCGAGGGCACGGTCAGTCCCTGCCTTCACAGCCCGACCCTGCCCCCGGCGAACAGCCCAGCAGAGCGAGAGAAAGGGGCCCCGAAGTGGCCCGGACCACGGAGGGATGCCCACGACCGTGCCGAGGACCGACCTGAAGAAGAAGCAGCCCCAGGACCAGCGCTCGTCCAGGAAGAGGTTGACGGCGACGAAGAGGATGGCCATGGCGACCGGGTCATTGAAGAGCCGCAGCAGGAAGATGGAGTGGACGCGGTAGGAGGCGCAGCACATGAAGAAGAACACGTAGGGGGGCACCTGGGCCGGGGCC